AACCCTTCAAAAGCGCCTTGGTAACATCTAATTAACTTTTTTTCTAGCCTTTCCAACGCTGCAATTACACTTTCAGCAGGATACTAATGAAATGAATATCAGACAGGGAGATACCTTGTAAAATGATTATTTTGAGAAAAGAGTACAATTACTTTTTCTAACTCAGTAAAATGATCTATAAATATGATGATTTATAAATAATATCTTCAGTTTCGAGAGGATAATTATTAAAACAAGCCAACGAAAAACACATTTAATTACCCTTTTGATTTTCTCTATAGAAAAAAAAGCTTTATTGGCAATTATTATTGAATCAGTAGAGGTATTGGTAACAAGGTATATTTTTTTATGAATTTATTTTTATAAACACCTACACTGTTTTTAATGAAACAAGGCTTTGTAATGCTAAAAACGATTATAAAAATTCAAGCAACAATTTCGGAACAACAAATTACCAAGGATCAAAGGTTTTCTTTTTGGGAAAATTATTATTTTTAAAACTTTTATTAAAAGTTATATACCCTTTTTGTTATTTTTCTAAGGGGTAGCCACTCCCACCCCCGTTTTGAAAGGCAAATAAAATAAAATGTGGAAATAAATGAAGGCAGAAAAAAGGATCAGGCGATGAAAGAAGTCGCTGGTGGTCACTTGCCGCGATGACGGATGTGGGTGGTAGTGGGTGCTGGATGGTGGGTGGTGCTTTGCGGTGGGTGGTTGGAGGTCGCCGAAAGAGGCGGATGGAAAGGGGGATTCATTTGACACGCAATCGAAATTAACTTCAAATATGAAATAATTTTTGTGTTTTTAACGCGCGCTGCCCCGTGGATGATAACTGGGGTGTGGGGTGAGGGGTTTGGGGGGCGGTCAAAAGAGCGGGGGCGTGGCTCGTGCTACCAACTTATAATTGGAAAAATAGCCGAGCGTTTGTGGGTTTTTGTGTTTTTGTATTTTTGTATTTCTCTTTTTTTCACCCACCGGAGTGTTGTAAAAAATCGTAATTACAAAGTTAATGTTCTTTGGTGAAAGGATTAAATTGCTAGTTTGTCCTGGGATCGGAGTTGGGGCAATTGGAAAAGTAAGTACCATGGGAACTCATCAAATGGCTCGGGATCGGGATAAATAAGGGTCCAAATTGGGTCTCTGTATATGTTTTAAATATGAAAAAATGAAACGGGCTGCCTGTGGTAATCGAACGATTAAATGCTATTGATTGAAGTTGATATTCTTGAAGTGGAAATAAATTGGGACCGTGTTAAAAAGAAAAACAAATTTCTTTTGCCGAATTTTCTAAGATTTTGAAAGCTGGCAGAATCTGGAGACCATAACTTCACTTATCAGACTTTAATTTCAAAGATTGTGAATTCATTCTCTGAAAATCTGCATTCAAATTTATAAATTTACTGATAGTAAATTTTATGGCCCTTTTTCATGTTCAGTTTTTTAAAATTTTAATTGGTTTGCTGAAAGGTTATCTAAATCTTTTATAGCCCATATTTTGACTAATTGGCCATCGATTTCAATGTTACTTATAAAGATTGTGGATTCATTCCCAAATTATCTACATTCAAATAAATAACTTTACTGAAGGTCAATTTTCGGCCCCATTTTAATGTTTGATATTTCTAAATGGTGAACCAAAACGACACTTCTACAAATCATAACCATATTTCCAAGTTTTTGACAATTTCTTAAAGCTTATGGTTGAGCCATCCTTAAAAACAATTTAGTTTAAAAGGTCAAACTTTGTGCTGAACACAAATATTGATATTGATTGATATATGTTCCCTACATAGAAATATTTATGGATGAATAAATAAAGAGGAATATTTATGTACTTGTTGTGGACGATTTCAGGATGACATAGACCTCAAATAACACCTACCTTTGCAGGACTTGTCGTGCAACTCGCGATCGTCCTCGAGCAGCGTCTGGAACTTGTGCTGCAGGTTGGAGGCCGCCTCCTGCACCGTCCTGGCCTCGTCGTCCTTGGGCAGCAGGGTCTGCAGATAGGCGTACATGTCGCCCTGCTGGATGCGAATGCGCTTCTTCTCCAGGTGCCGCACGAACTGCGCCTCGCTGGGTGCCAGAAAGAGCACGGCCCGTCCCCTGCGGCCCGCTCGCGCCGTGCGACCCACGCGGTGGACGAAATCGGCGGTGGTTTGCGGCGGCGTGTACTGCACCACCAGCTTGATGTCGGGCACATCGATGCCGCGGCCCACCACATCGGTGGCCAGTAGGACGCAGCTGGGGCACTCGCGGAAGCCACGGAAGACGCCCTGTCGCTCCGTCTGCGTCATGGAGCCATGCAGTCTTGTGGAGAAAATAGAGGGTTACACAAACTAAGACATTGCAGGCACACAAACAACTCACTTGAAGAAGCGCAGACCCTGCAGCAGCGGGGTATCGGCATCCCCGTCCGAGTCCTCCGCCTCCTGGTCGTCTTCCTCGTCCAGAACGCGCCTGGTCAGCGCCTCGTTCAACATGTCGTGGTGGAAGTTCACCATCTCCGTGGTGCTCATGAACACAATGGCCTTGAACTCCTTGGGGCTGGCGTCCACCTCCTTGGCCAGCAGCGCGGAGAGGGCCACCAGGCGGAGCTTGGGCGGCACCACCACATAGCTGAGCTGCAGGTTGTCGGGAATACTCAGCACCCCGGTCACGTCCTCCTGGTACTCCCCCAGGCCATCGTCCTCCACCGCCAGCAGGGCCTCGATGGTCTCCTTCTGGTAGCCATCCTTCGACTTGAGCGCCGCACTGGCCGCCTCGTCGCTGTTGTCGATGTACAGGGGGTTGCGCAGGGTCAGACCGGCCAGCTGCTGGACCTGCGAGGTCAGCGTGGCACTCAGCAGCATGCGCTGCAGCTGGGCCAGGTGCTCCTTGTCCTCGCACTCCGCCCGCTGCTTGTCGATGGCCTCCACCAACTGCTTCACATCGCGCTCGTAGCCCAGCTCCAGCAGGCGATCCGCCTCGTCCAGGATGAGGAACTGCAGCTTCGTCAGCTTGAAGTTGGCCGTGTGCAGCAGGTGGTCCACCAGGCGACCCGGCGTGCCCACCAGCACATTGATGCCCTTCCTCAGCCTGGCCTTCTCGCTCTTGCGGCTCTCGCCGCCCAGCAGGGAGCCGGGCACGATCCAGGTGTAGGGCTTGACCAGCTTCTGGACCAGCTCGTACGTCTGGATGACCAGCTCCCGGGTGGGCACTATCACCAGGGCCAGCACGCCGTCCTTGCGCTGCACTCGGGGCTGCTGCTTCTGCAGCAGTTCCACCAAGGGCAGGGCGTAGGCCAGCGTCTTGCCCGAGCCCGTCTGCGAGCGCACCAGCACATCCTTGCCCAGCAGCACCTCGGGTATCGTCTTCTGCTGCACACTGGTCAGCTCGCGTATGCCGAGCAGATCCTCCAGGTTCTTCACCGCATGTGGATGCAGTCCCAAAGTGGATATCTTCGAGCCCGTGAAGATGGTCTCCTTGACGGGCTTCACTGCACGCTGGCCCAGTTGCTTGAGGGCCTCCACATCGCTTTGGTCGAAGAGGCCTATCTTCTTGGTGCGAAAACGGTTTTGGGTTGCGGTTTCCCCAGCTTTTGATGGAGTTTGCAGGGTCTTTTTGGTGTCCTCTTTTGTGGGTTGGGGTTTTTCGGAGGCTTCCTTAGCTGCCTCTTCACCGGATTCAGCCGATTCCTTAGCTAAATCTTTTGTGGGCCCTTCTGTTGACCTGTCCTTGGCATTCTCCTCTTTCTCGCTGGCTTCCTGATCCTCGCCAGCCTCCTGCCGCCGCTTGTTTCTCCGCTCCTCGTCCATTTGAGCCCGGAAAATGTCGCCTGCCCTGGGCATTTGATTGGGGTTCTTGGGTTTTCGGTGGTTTTTCAGGGCACGCGTGAGCTGCTCATCGCTGAGTTTTAGCACAGGTTTTCCCTGCCTCTGCTTTTTGCCCAATCTCTCGGCTCTGGTGATTTTTGGCTTGGCTTTTTGAGTGGTGACCACGGGTTTTGTGGTCACATTCAGCATGAAATCATCGCCCAAAATGCTGCTTTTAGCAGGTGCTTTCGAGGGGCTAGCATTGAACATAAGATCTCCGGAGGATATAGTAGATTTAGGGGCGGCAACTGAAGGACTGGAAGGCACTTTGCCTGTAGAACTTGAAGATGCAGTGGAATTTGTGGCATTTAAGGGACCTGCATTTGTAGGTGCCACTTTCGTGGTGGCCGCCCTTCTGCGCACCACAATCGCCTTGACTTTGGGCTTCTCCACATCGAATTGAAAGTCAAAATCCTGAGATTTTTGTACACGTTTTTTAACCGATTGCACGGGCTTTTGATGAAAATGCAACGAACAATATGAAATTACATACTTAAACCAGCGAAAGTCACTTACTTGTTGTTTTTTCTGGGCCGCAGGTCTGGAATTCACATTCAGCGTTATATTATCCACCATTTTTGGGCATTTGTGGTACTGGATCAAGGGAAATGAAAGGAATTTTTTGTAAATAAAATAAAACGTGCGCGTCTCTTCTTATTATTTTGCACATTCACCGCGAAGCGCTCACATAAACAGCTGTGCGCTGGCCAGTGCTGCCCATAGAAGTTGCACAAGGAACACGCAGGCGCCAGAATTTGAATTTATTTGGTTGAGTGCATTAATTTATTCATTAATATAATATAATGATAATGATGATATAATAATAAACATCTTTTTGTATATTAACCCTTTTTAAATGCCCCTTGTTTTACAATCAGATTTTGTTTTGTTGTTATTGGAATAAAAATGTAAATAATAATAATAAATAATAATAATAATATTAAATGCAGCAATGGTGACTACTTTTTTAACTGATTTCTTAGTTCAAAGTTTATTTTTGTTGCGCCCCTTTTTAATATATTATAATAATTGAATTTAGTTAAACCAACTAATGAAAAAACTGTTAAAATTACAAACATCCGCTCATAAATAACTTTCACATTCCATTTAATATTGTATATTAATATATTTTATATTTTGGCAAATTCAGTAACATGGTTGGTTTTTTAAAGTAACTCTCTCTAAATATAATATGCTTACAACAATTTCCATAGGCGACACAAAAAAAATTCAACGCATTCAACTGCCTTGGGCTGCGAAGTGGTTTCCATAGTAATAGTGCTTGTGGTGGGTGGTTGGGTGGTTGGGTGGAATGGGGGTGCTTCTGTGGGTGGGTGGCCTTGGTGGTTTGTATCTCCCTTTGTTTAGCTGCGTCAGCCCCAGCTGCGGGCGCCACAGATGTCAACCACAGTCCAATGAATGACGGTGACGGCGGCTTGAGATCCTGGTCGCGGATGTCCTTCCTCAGCTCCTCTGGGACTGCCATCTCCCGCCTTCCCAGCACCCTCCTCCACTTCCACTTCCATTGCCATGGGAATGGGAATGGGAACGGGGATGGGGGTGGTCATGGGCATGGGCATGGGGATACTGGCCTGGTCCTGGGGACGCCCGTGCTCCTCCGTCGATTGGCAGGCCGCGTACAACAACTATGCGGTCACGTAGTACTCCCTCTGCCGCTTCTGGCACTTCTCGCGCGCAATATAGCACAGGGCGATCGTGATCAGCAGCACTATGGTCACGCCCATGCCAATGCTCACCCACATGATCTCCTCGTTGATGCCCACGTACGAGCGACCTGCAAAAGCACACCAATTAGCTTAGGATTTAAATTTCTAAAACGGTGCCAGAAATAAAATTAAAAGTAAGGAACATAAAAACAACATTTGGTTGCAATAAAATATTATACAAATAAAATTTAAATTAAATACAAAATGTTGTTAACAATTTTTGCACAGATGACTTAACCAGATTACGAAATAATATAAATTATTATATATTATAAAAATCTTCTCAAGTTTTAAAGTGGGTGATCAAAAAGGGCTGGCAGCCATTAAAGTCCACAATAACTCACCATTGTAGTAGTGATTGGAGTAGCCGGCTTTGCCAGCCACGCGACCCGCTGGCATTTTGCGAAAAGTTCAGCCAACTAATAAATTAAAATGTGCGTTGCTTTTCCTTTTTTCCTATTTGGCTCGTTGGCCTGGATATATGTACGAGATATTTGTTGCTTTTGCAGCTTTATCGGATATTTCCGGTTGTTTTCTCCGTGTCTTTTTTTAATTACAATTTATGTGTTTTGCTTGCATATCGCATTCGTGCAGGTCCTTGGGTGGCGCCAGTTTAGGCTAAAAAGAAAGAAAAATAAAAACATTAATTTTACGCTAAAACAAATGAAGTGACAAGAAAATGAGGTGAAAAAAAAATATTATGAATTCAAATTTGCGCGGGTCAAAACCAAGCGTTTTGCAGCACTTCCATTTCTTTGCGGGCATCAATGTTTTTTTTTTGGCGGAATATATTAATGTTTCATTGAAGTTTGAAATAAAACTAAAAAGGCCGAGCTTAGCTTCACGTAAATAAATTTCTTGACCTAAAATTAAGATTTCCTTTTAATATAATTTCTTTTTAAAATTAAAATCTATATTGCTTTCATTAGAGATGGATAGACATCGATGATTCCTGCCAAACATCGATGAGACCGATATTTTGAAAACATCGATGTTGGCATCGATGTTTCGCCACCTCTAGCATCAGCTGCTTAAGAAAATAATAATAAATGCAAATAAATAGTGACACTTTAACTGAATTCGATGTATTTAACATAAAAACATACGGTCTAAAAGTGCGAAATGGAAAATTCAGACCATGACAAGGTGAAAAACACCAACAAAGTAATCGGAAACAAAAAAATACAAAGTGAAATCGCAAAAAACGCCGGCGTTTTGGTCCCCAACGAAGAAGAAGAAGAAGTTGTTCCCAATGAGAAGAAGCAGTTGAAAGAGAAAGAAGAAGAAGAAGATCTGAGAGACGAAGAGAAGGAAGCGGTAAATTGCGCGGGCAAGAAAGAGACAGCTGCGGCCGAAATGCAACAACAAAAGTGCCTGGATGCAAGCACCTGTAGATGCCGTAAGTCCTTCTCTGTCACACCGAAACTTTTTCATTACCTCTCTTTCAATGAGAGATAACGGTGAAAAATTTCCTAGCTCTTATCTCTAAAACTTGTTCATTACTCATCATACAAATTAACTAATGGTTTCCATTTCACATAGAAAAGATTTTGAATATATTCTGTATGTTAATTATACATATCTGAAAATATATTTTAAAAGTGGCATTGCATGATTTTACTTTTTCCTAAATAGCAAAGTTTAATGGGAAAAATTAAAAGATAAACTGTCTAAATAAATTTATTGTTAAATAATTATGCTAAATATTTTAGGATGTGTTATGATAATATAAATGATAATAAATTGAGATAGTCTAAATCCATTAATTGATACATATTTCTTATTTTTATACCCTTGCAGAGGGTATTATAATTTCAGTCAGAAGTTTGCAACGCAGTGAAGGAGACGTTTCCGACCCTATAAAGTATATATATTCTTGATCAGCATCACTAGTAGAGTCGATCTAGCCATGTCCGTCTGTCCGTCCGTCTGTCCGTCCGTCTGTCCGTCTGTCCGTCCGTTTATATGCAAACTAGTCTCTCAGTTTTAAAGCTATCTACATGAAACTTTCCCAAAAGTTGTCTTTCTATTGCAGGTAGTATATAAGTCGGAACGAGCCGGATCGGACGACTATAGCATATAGCTCCCATAGGAACAATCGGAAAAATAATTGAAAAAAATTATAACTTTGCTGTTTTTTAATTTTTTGTTTAGTTCTTCGACATATAGCAATGGTTAAATATTTCAGAATTATGGTTTAAATTTCATCAAAATCGGACGACTATAGCATATAGCTCCCATAGGAACAATCGGAAAAATAATTGAAAAAAAATTATAACTTTGCTGTTTTTTAATTTTTTGTTTTGTTCTTCGACATAAAGCAATGGTTAAATATTTCAGAATTATGGTTAAAATTTCATCAAAATCGGACGACTATAGCATATAGCTCCCATAGGAACAATCAGAAAAATAATTAAAAAAAAATTATAACTTTGCTGTTTTTTAATTTTTTGTTTAGTTCTTCGACATATAGCAATGGTTAAATATTTCAGAATTATGGTTTAAATTTCATCAAAATCGGACGACTATATCATATAGCTCCCATACAAATATTAAAAATATATAAAAGAACAATCAAATAATTAAGCTGCAAATCGTCATAGCTTCAATGTTTTTAAACATATACGCAAGTAAATCATAATTTTAATGTTTTCAAAAATATTTAATTCTTGCGATAGCTGCAAGGGTATATGAACTTCGGCTTGCCGAAGTTTGCTTTCTTTCTTGTTTGTACATATTTTGAATCCCAAACCATGTGCAATTTTATTCAGATTAAAACTTGTAATATATTCATATTACAATGATAATTTGAGTAACCCGTAACACCTTATTGCCAATCAAGAGCCGTTTAAGGACACCAGCTGTCATTTTTTCCCTTTTGCAATATCAGACCGAACGATAATGTCCAGACATGCGGCTCATTCGCATGCACCGCTTGTTCCTGGCCAGAATCCATATCCTGGCATCCGTGATAGATTAAAGTTACGCCCAGGCAAAAATTGCATGAAATTGCAACGCCCCTCGTCCTTTCCCTCTACCATCTATGCATCAGTTGCAAAAAGTTTTTCACAAAACACAGGGAGAAAAAATAATGTTCGGTAGACATTTTTCAAGGGTTTTATAGAAATCTCTACCAATACATAAGATGTTCGTATCAACATTTTAAGGTCCTTTATCAAGGTGCTTATAAAAGTTTCTTTGAATAATGAATTCTTACTGGCTTACGTGTCGTATGAGTAATTTCAATGCAAATTAAAAGCTTACATCAAAATTACTCATACGTTATGTATGCCAATGAGAATACATCACTCGATCCAATAAATTAATTTAAATCAATGTCTCAAAAAAGGGCAGCCATTAAGTCTGTTTGTGGTACAAATTTTAAGGGACTTCAAACAGATTTGTTTTCTTTTTTTCTCGCAGTGCAGCAGCGAACACAACTGGAAACGGAGCGTCCTTCCGTTTCCATTGCTGCTGCACATTCACTGCTGCAACTGCAATCGAAATGAGTGCGAAGGTCGCTTTTGACCAGACCCAAAGCCCAAAACCCGTTAGTGAAGTGGTTTTAACTCGGTTTTCGTCTTGAATAATTCAGGCCAAAAAATGGCAAACTAGAAATGAGTTTGAATTTTCGGGGCTCACGTACTCAAATTGGGGAAAAACCTGGCAGTTTGGGACCCCAGCGATATGGACGATTACGGAATCATTTGTTTTCGCTTTCCCGGGGGAAAACTTTAAAGGAAAACTCCCTGCGTGGTAATAAATATAAAGCGTTTGGCCATTATTTAACCGCGCATTTAGTGCAGTTGACGGTGCCGGCGGCACTGGCTAATTGAAAAGCGCCAACTGCAGCAAACGAGGGTTAACTTAACCCCCGATGCGAACACGTTTACTATGATTAACTGGCAGCTCACGGGTATTTACGGACCGCCTTTCTTTCTGGTTAGCTGCTGCACAAGCTCATTAAGATTGCTAATTTCCCCCTTTGTCTTGTGGCGTTCAGAAAATCGCAAAACTTGAGATATTACTGCAGACCACTGCGATTTAATATTCTTATGATTAAGAACATATTGGGAAATTGGGAATTTGGCTGAGTCTGCTATTTGTATTTATAATGATTTGCTAAAGTAAGATGTTATCAAGTATTTAAACACTTTATCATGGCTTAAAAGCTTTAAAACAGATGTTTAAAGGTCTCTCGAAACAACATAAATATTTTCTATGCTTATAAATACTAATAGTATCTTATATCGGAAACATACTGTTTAATTTTAATTGGGTACATATTAGGCTATTAATACTTTTTAGAATTTTATTATTTAATAAGTTCAGGAATTTGCATAATAAATGCATGTAATCGCTATTGAATTTATCAGGCGGAAATAATGTTCAGCTCGAGAGCTTGACCGTGCGACTCAGCCTTAAAACCACCCACATCCACCCATTGCCATTTGATTGCGGTCGCTGCGCAAATTATCGAGATAAAAACGCAGTGAAAAAAGCTGTGGGTGCCGCATTTTTATTCCTCATTGTCCACTAATTCCCCGAGCGGTTCGCATCCGCGGAAAGATCATAAAAAACAATGTCTGAACGGCGTCGGACTTATATTTCCTCCTCCCTGGCAGCTCAACTGGAGGCGGAGGCCATCAAGGACAACCGCCAGCTGCTGGAGTTCCGGGTTCGGAGCAGGGACATCGACTGGCGCCAGTATGTCCAGCCGCTGGACACCGCAGTCCGATCGGGAGCGGTCTACTTGGAGCGGCAGGCGGACTTCGTGGGCAGCCACCGGCAACCTGTGACCGAGGCCAATCGCAGAGAGCTGCTCGTCTGCCACGACATGATGGGCAACTATTTGGAGGATCGGTGAGTTTTCATACGGAAAAGTTCTATAAGCATACTACACTATAATACTTATAAGTAAAAAAAAAGGTAAAACTCCTCTTAAAAAGGGTATTTTACAAGGCAATCAGCGTTACTTACAACTGATGTCAAGCAATCGGGAGCTTTGTGGAATTGGTATGACGTGGAAACTTAAGTATATAATATGTATATATCACAATTATTTTTGTTTGTTTTAAACATAAAATACTTATACAAACATAAGTTATTGTACTATAATAAAGATAAAGATAATTGTTAAATATATATATACTTTATAATAATCTGTATAATCTTTTAGAAAACACATTGCACTGTAGTTAGCCTTTTTTAATAAATAAACATTCGTAAGTGATTTCTAACTGATTTGAAACCATTTGATTCGTTTTGGAACATTACTATTAAATCGACAAAGCGAAAACTTCTAAGAAGGCTTTAACCAAATTTAAATTTAACTTATGAGCATTAGCAAGGGCCAAACTTTTGATAATTCAGTTTTTAATTGTTTTTCTCATTCCTTGCAGGCACTTTCACAGCTCGGAGAAGTACGACGACTATCGATTCGTGCACTGGTCAGCCGTGGATTACTTTTGCTACTTCAGTCACGAGTACGTGACCATTCCGCCCAGTGGCTGGCTGAATGCCGCGCACCGCCACGGAGTGCCGGTGGTGGGCACGTTCATCGTGGAGCAGCCAGGACGCCTGGAGGAAGTCCTGGCCAGCAAGGAGAGTGTGGAGCG